CAAAACATTGGCGAACGCTTCCCTACATTAAAAATGTGTCTGAACTCGTTGAAAGACACCTGAGGAAGCACCAAATACAAGTGGCTCACAAACCGACTACCACGCTACGCAATCAGCTTGTACACCCTAAGGATAGAGTTGACTATTTGGATAAGAAAGAAGTCGTCTATAAGATTCCATGTGGCACTTGTAATGCAGTGTATTGTGGTCAAACCGGAAAATCCGCCTCTACACGTCTACATGAACACCAATTAGCAGTGTAGAGGCGGGACCACTTATCCCAAGTCGCCATGCATACTCTTGAAACTGGGCACAAATTCGCTTGGGATAAAACACGCATTGCCGGTTCCTGCCCATATAAGAAAGGCCGAGAATTCCTAGAGGCCATTCACTCTGATGATTCATGCATCAATCGACGCATCGACCTTGATACCATGTACACAAATCTCAAAGAAAAATGGAAAAGGTAATAGCCAATCAAGACGTGACATCAGCCCACGCCATTAACCCATCCGCAGCCATTACAGAGCATTATCGATTTTTCGGCATTGTTTAAATTTTGACTGTTTCTTCACACTTACTACACGTCTGAAGACGAGCTGGGGAACCAGACTCGAAAATTTACGAAATAAAGTTTGTTCATTTTCCCAAAGGACTCATTGTTCTTCGAGATATGTATATATATACATATATAGGATGTGTGTTCGCCGAATTTTAAGCGCCCTTCCTAAAATAAGGAGGAATACAAGCATTAAACAGTGCTTTCGAAGACCAGTAACTGCATTAGACGATCTTGGGAAGGATATCATACGACATTGCTTCTATCGTTGCTGAATATTTTAATCGATATTCCGCACATGCACACGCAGGTGAGCTTCTAAGTGTGTTGAAGTTCAACGTGTTGCTGTTTGCGGGCAATTTGTAAGTTAAACCACAAACAGTCGCAATACATTACTTTGTACGGCGTAATTAATCGGTACATATATCCGATACAGAAGAAATCTCGAATTCTTTGTTTACTGTCATAGCAAGACACGGAATAGAACTCCCAGTACCGGGTAATGCAAGTGGCATTACGCAAAATTCTTGCGAATTTAAATGTTCTCATCTCATGTCCACGACCCTAACACAAAAATTAAGCCTAGCCCTAAACGTGACTCTAAGCTCCAAGTCTACTCTGAACCTAGGCTTAACCCTAGACATAACAAGTAACTTAAGTCTAACTTCAGTCTATCTTAAGTCCAACTTAAAATTAATCTTACCCCTAAATCAAAACTTCACCCTAGCCACAAACTAGCTCTAATTTCTCTAAAAATTAGCGAACGGCATCCGTGATAAAGAGAGATTCCTAATCTTAAGGGTCGCTATTTTTTATTTCGAAGTATATGGGAATACGTCTAAGTCAAACACCATTATTTGACTCGACGTGATGCTTGAAATGCAAATAAAGCTGTTTCCTTAGGACCGACCGTTGGCTAATATAACATTATTTTTGCTCGCAAAATAAAATCCCAGACGATGAAGAGAACATTCATATTCTTATAAAGTATTGGTAATGATGTAAAGATCTAACAGACATCTAATTTAGGTACCAATTTTGACAGTCTCCTCGTTGTCGCCTTGCTCTGCCCTCATTTGATGATGTCAACTCACCACATAGAGCAAAATGTTGCGCTTCCAGCATTGCGGACTGCAATTATTGTCAGAAACATAATAACAACCGGATGAGATAGTAACGGTATTTCTATGTTTAGAAGGAGCGAATATAATTTCACAAAATTCGTAACATTGAAGTAATTGCAGCAGAATATTTCAAATGTTTTTTCGTAGCCACGTTTTAGGTCTTGCCTGTGTGCCTTCGTATATGTTGAAGTTTGACGCTGTGCTATTCGCGGGAAACTTGGAAACTAACATAGATAGAGTTGGAGATAAATGTTCAGTGGGTGGGGGGGGGGAAACATTGATTGCTCCACGACACATCTGCACATGTGCCAGATCAAACACCCCACGATTACGGGATTGTTCTCAAGCCGCAGCAGGGCGACAGGAGTTGGTGGCTCAGCCAGAATGAAGTATTAGCACCTTGCGATTTTAAAATATTTCTGTAAAGTGCACAAATAAGAAGACACGCTCGCTGGAACAAGGGCTTTACAAGCCCGAGGTTTCGGATTCTTAGTTGAAACGATCATCAAAGACAGAGCCAGTTATATTCAGTTACCAATCTGATGAAATATTAGCCGAAATTCTGAAATGCGTTTTCTATTAGTAAGGATTACTTGAATGGCTTTCTATCATTGATTGTTATGTGGCATACTCCTAAAATATTTCGAACTTGCCATAGTATCGGATTTTGAGTGCATTTCTTTTGAACCTCCCGTAGATACCACACTCGGTAAACAATAAATTCATATGCAGCAAACATTGTTCACCTCGATTTTCGATGAACCCATGATTTAAAATATCTATTTACAGTAAACATACATAAAAATATGCTTTCTTTCGCTCATTTGATCGGAGATCACAGTGTCCTTGCGTTTTACTTCCTAAGAAAGGTCATCTTTTGGTTTTAAAAAGGTTCCTAGTTAGGAGATTTCTAAGACTGTGCACCGTCCATACATACAGCATCGCACACGTCGGTTCACCAATGCTCCTCATGAAATGTACGACATAGTCAGCACTCTCTACAAAATTTTATGAACTGTATTTGGTATCTTCTTAAAGTGATAGGGGAAGATATGACTTTTCGCACGCGGAAAGCATGCACCTTGTGAACTGCAACCGTTAAACGCTGATGCAGCATCTGAGCAGACCCAAAATTATTCGTGAATCGATAAACGTTTTAAAAACCTAAATATACCCTCCTTTTGGGTACAAAATATGAAGAAAATATGTTATTTTATCAAACGACTAAAAGAAAGCATGTTTTGGCGCATACGTTCTATGAAATATATCTGAATTTACAAGATCGTCGAAAATCTATGTGAAAAATGCATGCTGCATAAGTAGTCACTTTTTGCCGAGTGCGGTGTCTATAGGAGATCGAAAACAAGTGCATTAAAAAGTCAACATCTCGGTTAGTGATTTTCTCCAACGATAATTATTATTACAACCTAACTTAAGGAATCCTTTCTTATCGACAAGGTATTTCAGAATTTCGACCAGCATTTCATGAAATTGGTCACTCACTGTAAGTGTTAGTGTATTGCCCAGGTGTTTCAGTTTTGATAGGATATAGTTGCTAGGCCGCTACATGCCTATCACAGTTGGCAGCTCCCAAGAGCATTGCGGCTCGGCACTTGCACTACTGCTGTTGTGCGCCTGTGTGCCTGTTAGACATTATCGGCTCCCACGATCATCGCAGGCAGTCGAGTTACTGACTGTCGATTTCGCCATCCCTGTTGACATCAGCGGTCCTGACTCCCGAACACTACGCTTCACTTGTATTTGCAATAAAGAGTGCGTTTTCTTTGGCCTTGATTATTTTACCAAACACGTCCCCAAAGTAGACAGATGGTCCGCTGGCGCATGATTTATGCGATTTCACTCCTAAGTACTGCTTGATCCGTGCAATTGGGTTTGTATGTCCAGCCTGCTGTAGGTAGTGCTATGGAATTGAAGATAATTTGCAAAAAGGTATTGTCAGCGGAGGAAACTTAATGCACTCACTCGTTTACTCCTCAGTAGACATAAATTGAGGTCAAGCAGATTGCGGCTGCCAAGTATGGTGGCGCTGATTTGTTCAGATGAGTACCAAATAAGGAGTCCCATGTAATCAAATGCGTTCATTTTGCTCAATTCCATTACCAGAATGCATGTTGTTTGACTTCGTTATGACGAAGAAAACATCGCCGAAGGCGGGGGTATACGCTTGCAAAGTGTATTTGCAGTATTTGCAGGGGGACTTGTCTTACGTCCTTTAACCTCTCGCTAGAGGGTTGGTTCTCCTATAAATGTTCTCATTGACATTTTGTCGCATGACGACGCACCCGCATTTCGCGGTCCGTATGCGGTGTCAATTACTTTTTATGAGAAATTCACTGTGATATAGCTGCCCGGTAAGGTTTATCAACATGCAAGTCTACCTTACATCGTATGTGTCTGGTTTAAATATGGAGTTGTTGAAGTAGTGCATTGCAAACCTTGCTCAACATCGCGTGTAGACAGGGCTACCTGCGATAAATTGTCTGGTCACCTCATTGCCAGTTGTTTCTCGTGAAAAAGGAGGCCGACTGATTTCACGGATAAGTCGCAACGGACTGTGATGTAGTTTCTTTCTGCCTAAGATTAGTGCATTCGTGACCATGGAGTTGGAGAGACAATAGATCCAGTACAGAGAGAGAGAGATCAAGCTGTTCAGATGAAGTGAATTTAATGCAACGAACATACGGCATGACGAAAATTGCGAATTCACACCACCTCATTCACTACACCCAATGTTGCCTACAGTCGCGCTCTAAGGTAGTATTCTATTCAATTCTGCATCCTTAAATTATTCCGACTGGGCACAGTCATTGAACGATTGCCCTTTTTTGAAATGTCACAGATGAAATGCCATCTCTTGCATGTTACCGTCACTAGGCAGCGTTTTTATAACTCGCATGCGCTGGGCAACCATGCTTTCTTTTTAAACCCTCCAGGAACGTTCGTAGGCACACCTCCTGGTGCCTCGAATCCCTATGGGCTATGGGCGCACTTCTCAGGTCACGGACGTTGACGAGCCGAAGGCCAGGATCGCCGGTGCGTCAACGTTCGCTCAGGCCTCCTCCATAGCCTCCCAGAGATATCAGCACGACTTACCGCAGACTCTCTCCTTGCATGGCATCTCTACTTCTACCTCATCTCTCAATTCTGATACCTGCCGGCCCGGTCGCGGCTCCCCGGGCACGCGTCTCCCACCTGGCCCAATCGGTACCGCATTCTTTCAAATTACTTATCCTTACTGACTGGGTCACAAGTAGCCAGCTTCCGGCTCTGTTTCCCCCAATGCACAAAAACATGACTGGGAGCAGATTGGGCTCTGTTGGAATCGCATTCATCTATCGGGTTAGGGGACACGCTTGCCCCCTTGTGTCTGTAGGCCCAGTCAGGGGCTACTGAAGGCAGTCGCATAGTAACTATGAATTTATGGTGAACGGAATGACCTATTCTGGCCTATTAGTCGTCATCGCCCAGTCATTCACAACCCCAGCTTTGGTGCGAACCGGGGATTCGAACCCAATCGCCACTTACGGGCTCAGCTCAGGGATCAAAGAGCCCGGTTTTGAATCCCAGATGCTTGGATATGGCTGGATGATGGTGGCTAATTAGCGAGAAAAGCAATTGCAGTTTTCCTTGTTTTTGCCGCTCCTTCTTTCAACATACAGTGCGTGGCCGATCTCATGAAATGTTGGCCAAAATTCTTGAATTCGTTTCCGATTAGGAGGGATTACTTAAGTGCGGTCGCTAAACCGATTATCATACAGCATAACCCTATATCATTTCAGACTCGCCAGTATGTAGGCTTTTAAATGACTGCTTAAGTAGCGCGCATTTTTCCTTTTAATTTTTGGTGGTCTTATAAATTCAAACATATGTTACAGGAACCATGCACAAAAATATGCTTTCCTTTACTAAGTTGGAAGGAAATCACATTGGCTTTATTTTTTATACCCGAAGTAAGTATATTTATTTAGGTTTTAAAAATGTTCTAATTATGAGATTTTTATGACTGTGCGATGTCTATGCATGCAAGACCGCAAATGTACGTTTACTAATGCTCCTCATAAAATGCACAACAGAGTCCGGAGCCATTGTAAAATTTCATGAACTCTTTGTAGCATCTTCTTAAAGGCATAGAGGAAGACATGATTTTCCTTACGCGGGAAAGCGTGCACCTTGAAGACTGAAATTGCTAAACGCTGATGCAAAGGCAAATCAGACTGAAAATTACTCGGGCATTGGGAAACTTTTTAAGACCTAAATATACCCTTTCTTCAGCATAAAATAAGAATCCAATGCGATTTCCTTCCAAATGAGCAAAGGAAAGCATATCTCATGCATGTTTTCTGCAACATATATTTAGAATTATAAGATCACCGAAAATCAGTAGGAAAAGATCATGCTAATTAAGTGGTCATTTTTTACCGAGTGTGATTTCTACAGGAGGTCAAGTAGCACTGCATTTAAAAGTTGACATCCTGACGAGTCCGAAATGTTACAGGGTTATGCTGCATGACAATCAGTATAAAAATCCCACTTAAGTAATCCTTCCAGATCGCAAACGTATTCCAGACATTTAGTCAGCATTTCATGAGATCGGTCACTCACTGTACGTATGCCCATGGGTGTGATTTGGTAAAGCAGGATTTTGACGCTCGCTACTATTATTGCAAATTTACCGCAGAGTGGGCATTTGAATGTCTTTCCAGGGTTGAACCTCACAGAGAATTTCAAACGTAAAATTCGCGCAGGCACATGCGGGTCGTATTGTCGGATGTTTCGGAATCCTACGTTGTGCTATTTGCGGCCCAATTTTAAGCTTAAGCACGGAAAGTTGAGAACAATTTCGAGGTACGGCATCTTTGAGTAATACGGAGAAAATTTGGCACAATTCATTTATTTTTTGGTATGACACGGAAATAAACGCCCATCCCTTTGTAATACCATTGTTTACTAAAAATCCGGGAAGAGTAAATATTTCCATGTCTCAACCCCGACTATAACTCAAAAATTAAGCCTAAAATTAAACGTCAAACCTGCTCATTAATCTGAGTACAAGCCTTGCCTAAATCCAAGCCTTGGAATTTTCCACAAGGCTTCCGGAATACGGGTGGATTCTTACTCTGATGCTTTGTCAATTCTTTCCTCGAAGATAGAAAGTATTTTGAGTCAATTGGCATAGTTACTGCATGGAATGATTGCCAAATTAATTTTTTTCTTTAACCATCACTGAGTGGCGGTGCCTACAGTCAAAGCTGAATTAATAAGTCCACTCCATCCACCTGACAAGGAGTTCAAAACGGAAGGATTACAAAAACTGGAAAGTCTGTGGGTCTCCAGATCTAACCTCAAGACGCAACGGTCGTTGTTCTTAAGCCGAGATGAAGGCGCAAGAACGTCAGGCTAACAGACAACTGGTATGGATCCGCAGTAGACTTGATAAAGTACACATTGGCACAATAAAACTACCAACAAAAACAAGGCCGACTAGTAATACTATTCTGCCTATATCACCCGCCCCTGCGCCGTTGTTATCGGGGATGGAGAGAGAGCTCCAAGACACAACAGCACGAATGAGTTTCGTAGCGCGATCGGTGAGCCCCCTCTACCAAAGTTGGCTTTAAATGCGCTTGAAGTCACAGTTATTGGCCAAAGCCTGATATTGCAGATAGGTAGGGCTTTGACCACAGTCAGGCTGCCGTGCGTTTGATATTCTCGAGGGCGCCAGATTATCACAGATGATAAGTGGTTTCCTTTTAATTCTGCAAGTAAAAACAAACAAATTAGCCACTTGACCAGTCTCTTCTCATTACTTTTCAGTACTTTTCAGCCTCACAGGGCACTTCCTTCCAATATTTAAAGTCAACTCATAAATTTCCAAAATTTAGTCATTCTTTTCGTCTCAGACTAAAAACTGGCGGCGCACAAAGTCCGAGACTTCATGTTGTTATTTTTGGGAGGAGATTTAAGGGGTCTTATTGTCTCTTTTTGAACCGAAGCCTTCCTATCAGAATTAAATCGAGGTAGCACTAACTTAGTGTAGTATTTGGCTCCATAAATGGCCTTTCCTCACTACGTAAATCGCTTAGGAAAGTTGAGTAATTCGCCAGACCGTTTGCATTGCGGAAAGCTAATAAAATACGGACACGCGCAAAAGGCTGAAGATAAGTCCACTGGAATGAGACGTTCCTTCGCCTCTTGGTAGGATCAAGACAAGCGCTGTTAAAGGAAACATATTTGAATGGGTTTGACATACCTGGTAAGACAAATTCCTGCAAAATGTATTAACGTCATCAACCACGTAGCTCTGCGATCGAGGAGGAGGCGATCAGTAACGTTGGTCCCCAGCTGCTGTCTTAGGCGACATTAACTCCTGACGAGACTAGGGCCTCTACCAGTGACATTAAATCCCGAACGTGAGCGTCTCTAGTGCCGTTTGGTGATATACATTGCCCTGGAGCTTTGATAGGGATAGGTTACGTTAGAGCGGTGTTTGTGGCACTAGCCGTGGCGCGACGTCCCCGCAAGTTAAAATGACACCGCGATAGTTTGTTCCCACAATGGTTCAGCTGGCTTCATGATTAGGTTGACACACGAGAGCAATATGAAGTGGTGGCTCAAGTGTGTGCATGCGTGGGAAGTTACAGGTAGGGCCAGCGGTGACCTTATTAATGCATAGTTAAATAGCATATTCAGAGTCAGTTTAAGATCACAAAGATTTCAAACCGTGTTCGAGATGAAATTCAACGTAATGGAAAATGATTTTTGCTGTTCAGTACGACTCACTGAGAAGAAAGGGTGGAGTACGAAGTGTTTACAGGGCTGACTATATGTAATCATGTTGTGAAAGACGAGTTTTGCCGAAAAAAGTATGTAATCAAGTTTTTATTTATAACCAAATCTGCTGTCGGTCATCACAACCTAGTTGTTAGTCAGTTCCATGGTTTGACTATTCGTTGGTAGATAAAAATTTTTTTGAGACCTAGTCGAGTACTATCGCCCTAAACCTTGTGCGGACGACAGCATCCCCCGGTCTCATGAGCATGGTCAATCTGGAATGTTTAGAACGAACTTCGTTCTGAGAGTCAGTGGAGTTTCACAAAAACTCTGAGAATTCTTCCGAAGGGCACGGGAGGAAATATATTAAAAGCACGTCTAGTCTAGCGCAATGTTCTACTTGCCACCCAAATTGCATTCCCTAAAAATTTTTACAGCATCAAATTCGTAGTCGTTCATACGCCCAGATCTGTGTGCGATTTCGTATTTTGTAATGTATTGCGATTGACAAGAAAATGATGTTCAAATATGCCCTGGGTACTTCACGCTTTCTGAAGTGCAGATAGTTAGAGAAGTATGAAGGCTTCGCCGGATCAGTGGAGTTGAGTGGTTGACGTTTCGGAAGACTTGTCCGGCTCTCCGATATCAAGGCGTTTTGTGTAAAAAATCGGCTAGAAGTTTGAATAAACGGCTGAAGTAGTTGGCCTTGGGTCGATCGACTTTTTCCTTCTTTTGCTGCCTTGGTTTTCTGGCCGTTGTCTGTGAATATAGGCGACTTCCTGCATTGTGTGCCGTCACCTCAATGGGGGTGGGCTGACCTGTGCACTCCTTTTGGGTGAGTTAGTCGGAGGGCCGTGTTCGCCCGGTGTTTTTAAGCTCCCTGTGACCGTTTCGTCCTGGGCATGGTGTTTGTAGTGGCGTAGGACTTTATAGGCCGCAGGAAGGTTTAGATGCCTGTTGATGGAGTTGGCATCTTAATACCAACCCTCAGGCTTGAGACGTTCTGTCTTTGAGGTTTCTAGGCTTAAGACGGTTGCTCCTTGGAAGTCAAAACGGTGGCCAGTTTCTCCGATGTAGTTCTGTGCGTAGCAAACGCATGACCAAGTGGGCCATGCAGAAGATGATTGATCGAAGCGTGCTCCATTTACTTTCTAGTTGTTTTTGCATAACCTGACTGAGCTTTCTGATTGGACCTACGTTGAAAGGACTTCTACATTCAGGTGTAAATTCTGGTGGTCTGAGAACTGTATATGATGGTTTTGGTTATTCAACTAATACACCTGCGAGTCCCTCTTGTGAGTTTAAGCCTAAATAGAACTAGCAAGATGTCGAATTGCCATCACTGCTCGTTTACCGAAGTGAAATCTTGAAAAACTCGGGCTAGGAGGCAGGAAGCGTGGATTCACTGCTAAATTACATGTCTTTTTATATAGACGACATGTTGCAGGCAATGGGGTCAGGACAAATA